GCTTCAATCTTCACTTCTTTCTGGTTAAACAAACTTCAGTTTTGTAAGGGCAGTAATGAATGTAGCAGGGTGAATCCTGTTCCTTTTGTCAGTGATTGGTCTAGGAGTGGCCGTGTGACCCATGGTAGGAAACTTGGCAGTGAGTGGAGAGATTATAAAAAAAAGAGAAGCATGACAGGAAGATTAGTTTCGGCCACCTTGGCCATCTTGTTCTTTTTGCCTTTGAATACAATTTTACAGAGATTAATGCAAGGAGTGGTGGCAGCCATGTTGTGACTGAGATAATGAGCCGGGGATACAATTTATTGTAGAAGACAGAGCAAAAGGTGGAAGAGATTTGGGTCCTTAATAACAGAGCTGCTAAATCAACTCTCATACCACCCTTCTCTGAAATCTTAATGTGAAATAACTAAATATCTTTATTCTCTAAGCCCCAATTAGTTAAGTATTCTGTTACTTGAGATGAGCAAGACAGACCAGCTCCTGCCCTTGGGTAACCTACAGTTTATCAGTTAAGAGCTAGCAATGAGTAAATGCTTTCTATAAATTCCTCATAATAACTCTATAAGGCAGGGACTCTCTTTATTCCCATCCACATTTTACAGAGAGAAAAATTGAGGCCCAGGAAGATTAGATTACTTGCCCAAGGTCATTCTGCATGTAAGTAATGACATCAGAATGCTTGCTTTCTGAGCCACTAAGTCCTGAGTAAGTTTGCTCTGAATCCTTGTTAAGTAAATGAATGGACAGGTTGTAGCAATAGAGCTGTTTGCTGGAAAGTGAAAGAGCTGTTCCCATTGTCTGCACTTCCAGGTGCATCCAGATGTTCTTTATCTGAATCTGGAGCCAGACTTTGCAGGAATCAGGCCACCCAGTGGGAAGAATCTGAATGACATCGAATACCTAGCCCTACCCTTTGCTGAGGAATCTCCCCTGTCAGAGCCGTGTGGCTGTGAAATTGCCCAGCCATCCTCACCGCCATCATCCCAGTCCAAGCCCTATTACCTCTAGCCTGGGCAATTGCAGAAACCTCATGCTAGCTCTTCCTACTACCAGCTTTTGTCCCCCAACACTCCTTAATGCCCACAGCTAGAGGAATCACTTCAAGACAGAGATCAGCAGATGGGACTTTTCTGCTTAAAACGTTATTCTGGCTTCCCATTGTGCTTTCTAAGCTCAAACTCATTCCTTAACCTTATGTATAAAATCCCAATGAAGCTCTACATGGTTTGGTCCTGTCCACCCCTCTAACATCCCTTCCCAAGCTCTTTTCCACCTTAGAGCTTTTGCTCTTTCTGGCTCCCTTGTCTGTATCCCCTTCCTCGGAACTTCACACAGTTGTCTTCTCCCTGCCCTAAGGTTCTCAGCTGAGATGTATCGCCTCCTCGAGGCAGCCTTCCCTGCCCGATTACCCTATCTAAAGTTGCTGACACTTGTCTCAGGCATGCTCTATCACAGTGGTTCTCAACCTTCCTACCCTTTAATACAGTTCCTCATGTTGTGGTGACCCCCAATTTCATTGTTACAAATTGAACATAATTAAAGCATAGTGATTAATCACAAAAACAATATGTAATTACATATGTGTTTTCCAATGGTCTTAGGCGACCCCTGTGAAAGGGTCATTCGACCCCCAAAGGGGTCTCGACCCACAGGTTGAGAACCGCTGCTCTATCGCTTCCTCCTGTTTACTTTCTTCATGGCATTTATCAGAATCTGAATGATCGGTTTATTTATTCTATTATTTATTAACTGTATTCCCCACCAGAATGTAAGTCCATGTGTCATAGGAACTGCCGTTTTTATTTTCACTGTATGCCCAGTGTCTAGAGTAGTGCTTGGCACATAGTAGGTATTCACTATTGGTTGAAAGAATAGCATTTCCAGAGCAGGACATACCTTTGCCTTCTGTTAAATTAAGCCAAGGTTTCTCAACCTTGGCACTATTGACATTCAGGACTGGAGAATTCTTTATTGTGGAGGTCTGTGCTATCTATGTATTGGAGGAAATCTAGCCACACCCCCAGCCTCTGCCCACAAGGATGATGGAACCTTGGACAAGGGTCATGATAATGGAGGTGATGAGACGTGAACAGATTAAAAATATGTAACAATGTTATGTTCAACTCTATAGAAACAAGTCCCTTTAAATTTACAAATGAAGGGATACAGAGGGGAAGGATCTTACCCTGGGAGCTGGGGGCTTATTCACAGCTTTTCTCCTCCAGAGCAAGGGGCTCGCTATTGTGTCTCAGGGCCTGTTTACTTATCATGCAGTAAATATGTATTTGAAAGAATAAATGGGTAAATGGTGGGAGAGGAGGATAACTATAGCATCCTTAGGGAAGCCTTGCTGACCTCTCCAGGTAAATCCTTGGTTCTATATTCACTTCTGGGGATTACTTGATCGATTCTGTCTCCCCCATTGAACTGGGCGCTCAAGGGGAAAGTGTTTCTTTTACTGAGTCCGCCACAGGACCTGGCACACAGGGAGCTCTCAATAACTAGCTGTCCAATATAACATGAATGAATGAATGAATGAATGAATGAACTATATAAACTAGCTCACACCTCACTCTCCCTTCCCCTCACCTTGCTTGATTTTTCTTCTTAGCAGTTATCGCCAACTGCCACATTGCATGTTCGTTGATGTATTCATCGTCCACATTCCCCACTAGAATCCATTCTAGAATTAGATTTTAGAATCTAGACTAGAAACGCATGAAAGCGAGGGCTATTCGAAATTGCAGCCCCCGCCTCTATCTCTCTCCTTTGCCTTATTATTCCCTCAAACGCTTACTGTCCTCTGAAATGTTCTTTGACTTTGTTTTGGGTCTGTCTCCAGCCGGCTCCGCGAGAGCCAAGCTTCTGTGCTGGGTTCACAGCTGTGTCTCAGACGCTTATCCTAGTGTCTAGCGCACAGCGGGCAGTCAGTTCACGATGTTGACAGGACTAAGGAAGGCGGGTTTGCCCGGAGGCAGTGGAGACAGCCCAGGTGGAAAGGTTAGGACTAACCAAACCCCCGGCCGGCCCTCAACCTCACCAGCAGGCTGACTCGGGCAAGCAGGAGTTAAACGGCGTTCACGCTCACTACCCGCAGGTGGCGCCGTCCCGCCTCGGTGCGGAACTCTGGGCGCTCAGAAGTGCGGGACAGAATCGCAGCGAGCTCGGAGCCGAAGCTCAGCCCGGACTTGTTGATCTCGCCCAAGCAGCCGTCGCCGCCGCCACCGCCGCCGCGAGAGCAGTAGGAGGAGGAGGAGAAGGTGGCGGTACAGGAAGCGCCGCCCGA